AGCTGGCATTCTCCTCTCCATTCTCAGATCCATTCCTTTCGAGGTATGTTATTTTTCCCGCAATGTCGGCAGGTACAATTCTGAGCATAGTGCTAAGGGCTAGAGCTGAATATATTTTAGCCCAGACGAAATAAAAAAGCAGGTCATGCCACAGTAATTGATGTTACGTATACGCCATGTGCTACACTTATCATAAGTACTCTATAATCAAATGTTCGCTATGTTGGCCAAAGAACAATTTGTTTAGTTCTATCTTCATGTAAGCTCACATATACATACTTATGTAGAAACGTATATATACATTTTGAAAAATATTATTTTCCTTTATGCAAGAAAGTGATAAATCGAATGCAACAATTTAGCATAATCATATCAGTGCATATGTTGTGCTGATTATTTGCTTCAGTAAATATGTACATAAATTTTTATGCTCTCTCAAAATTGGGAAAACATTTGCTCCACAGTCTGCATATTATCGCTGGTCAGTGCTGTCAACTGTCTTCATATCCTTCTTGTGTTGCTCAGCTCAGTGTACATATGTGTGGCATTTATTAGTTGACCCAATAACTTTTATCACCATCCATTTGTCTACCATTATAAACATATATTTATTACTATATTTGACTATGCACAATATTTATATTATTATCTGTCAAATGATATCATTTGCGTCTGTCATAGAAATAGACTTGTGGGTGGCTACAAATGCTTCATTTTCCCTCGAACAGTGCCACAAATTTTTCTTACCATTTCCAATGGTTATTCAATATTAGCTAGGATGATTGACTCGATTTTGTCAAACCGCTTTGAATAATGATAGGCGATTTTTTACAAATCTTAATTTTTCCAATACCGGTTAAACCGGATTTTTACAGTTGAGTAATCAGCGTTTTCATCTAGTTTAGTTTATGTATATGCATATTTTTATTAATATGTATCTGAATGCTGAAAAATTTTCCATTGCAGAAAATTACTTTAAAATTATAAGTAAAATCTTTCATTGTGGCTAAATCAACGGAAACGGAAGGCTCAGCAAAATGCCAAATCCGATGGTTGTGGGCTATAGGGATGTTAGATGAGTTGATGTGGGGGGGCATACAAAGAGGTAACCGTGTAATCTGCTACAATAGAAGGGAATGGAATTGTTTCAAAGCATCGCGAGCCACACCAAACAACTCGAGCGCTTCGTCTAGCCTAGGCGAGAAGTATAACATAAAAAAGTTCTTTTTACACATTTGATAAAAATTACTAGGAAAAACAAATAAAAATAAAAAAATATTAAAAATTACTAGGATCAAAATTACAAGAAAAAAATTAGCAATTGATTATACGAAACTGATTAGTGGCTGCATAGTACTTTCTACTGCCATTACGTAGAGAATTTCCCCGCTCGAAATTATGCGTATTTCCTTCATCTTGATCTCGACCCGATGAAAAAATTTTACCGAATAACTAGGCCATGGTACATAGAATTTCCGATTTCACACTTTATTGAATGTAGTACATAGTTTAATAAAATTATATTGGAATGTAAAAATTTAATATTATCTGCACTCTTTAAGAAGCAAGACTGCAATTTAAGAATTTATGGCACCCCCGTGCATTTCAAGTGTGCTTGGCCATTGTCATTTACGCAGAAATTTACAAGTTGACACTGACGCGTAAAAATTTCATGACCTCGCTGCACGGCATTCATAAAGAAATTAAACGCCAAGGGCATGTGGGGGCAAATGGTAGATAGTGAAAGATACAGGAGAGAGAGAGAGAGAGAGAGAGAGAGAGAAGTGATGATAATGTATACACCCAACTCAGCGGAACAGGTGTCAATGTGGCCTCAGCTGCCTTGCTGGCTTTCATAGATTGTCCAAAAATGGTGAAAGCATCATAAAAATGTGTCCGTAAAAAATGTAACGAATTCTTAAATTATGCGAATATTGTTTGCAACTTAATAAAAGTGATAGCTATTGCCCGGTGCCGCATGGCTGATGGTGAAAATTAAAAGTGGAATGGAGATTGAAAGTGAAAAGGGGAATTATGTACATACATACATACATACAAACACCTATGCATGTTACGTTGGATATCTCACTGCCTATGCTTGAAGTGATTTATGCAACTATGTTGTTAAGTTTGTTCACTTTTTCTGGGAATTCATGCGTGTGTTTGAGTGCTCGGGACGGGACACCAACATTCCGTTCAAAGGAAAAAAACCACTTATGTTCAGCTATAAAGTGCAAATGGCGCCCAAGGGAATCATCAAAATACACAACAACCGTGTAACAAAAAAAACAACAGAAACAGAAAGTCTGTGCCACAGATACGAATAGCAAAAATATAAGCGAACCAGCAGACTATGAACGACTAAGCTAAAAACAAAAAATTAACTTTGTAACAAAATGCAGGTGAAGAGGTGAAACAGCAAACAGCAGAAAGAGAAGATGGGTAAAAAAAAGTTCAAAAACACCGTTGAAAAGTTATCGCCGCACTCGCCGGATATCATTGCGCTGACCGGTCGGTAACTCTCTACCCGCAAAGTAACTGCCATCAGCCTTTGCGAAATGGATTTTTTATCGGAGAAATAGTATGCCATCACGTGGTCAACAGCTGCACAAACAGCATCTGAGCAATATGGCCAATAAAGTGTTGGACTAACTGCCACTTGTCAAGCACTCGGCAGCGGGCGATTGTTTTGGGTTGGAACGACAGCTGGGGTCAGTTGAGATGGCTAGTAAGTTACATAACTGTATGAAATATTTTTTTTTTGCAGTTTCTAGCTACGCTGTGAATTAGTTGGTTGTCGTAAATGCTCTTACGTTTAGGTAGTTAGCTGCCATTTTGACGTTTTTTTTTTGCTCACAGTCTGCTAGCGCTAGCGCGACACTTAATCCCTTTGCCGGTATTTATGTAAATGCCAGAGCGAACTCGTATACTTCAGCTAGGGACCAATGTTTTTTCTTTTGTTATTTTTCTTGTTGTCTATCTACCCAGAAGGCGTAGAGCAACCCCTGGTATAACTGTTGTAAACGTAAATGTCAAGCATTAAAAAAAAAATAAAATAATTTCGTAAAAATTTCGAGCTTTTTAATAGGTGTTGCTCATTTTCCTCCATATAAACAAATCGGCGAATATACCTAAATGTAGGAAAGGGAATGCACAACAAAGTCAGCAAAAAAAAAAAATACAAAAACTCAACGACAAGCTTCTTCAAGCTTACACCTTATTTTACTAAAATGAAATGGCTCGAAAATTTCCGAAAAGTTTGTTGAATTTTTCTTTTGGATTTAAACGGTTTCTGTTAAAGAATAACTATATTTTTATTTAAAAAAAAATAAATAAAAAATATATTCTTAAAACTTATCAACATGTGGTTTGCTCGAAATTTATAGTCTAGTGTTTGTTAAATTTTTGTATTACTTCTAAATAAAAGGTGTTCTCAGTGTTCTCAAAAGAAACGTTTGCTTTAGTAAGGACTTCTTCATTTGACACAAATTTACTAGAGTGATCGATAATGAAAAATAAGTTTTATAGATATTGAAAAAGAGTATAAATGTCGATAGCTTCATCGATAACTAAATCGATAGATACATATTTATCGATACATATATATCGATAATAATGCCGATCACTTGACGAAAACTGTATGAAAATGAGCATAACCTATAAACATTTTGGTGAAGGTTCGAAAATGACCTTCGATATCCAATCTGCATATCGAACTGAGAACGAACTCAAAATCAACCTTAGTTTACGAACGTGCATAGTATATTGGAAATATACTCGACATGGGTTCGAGTGAAAATCAAAGTAACAAGAGAGAAAGAAAAATCCAGCTCATTCTCGAAGAGAAAAATAAAACAATCACTCTCTCTCATTAAAATTTCAATTCGCTAATGGGCTGGACTTCGAATTGATAACGAAGAAAAAATACATTAGATAACGAAGATTCCGTTTTGCTGGAAAATGACCCATTCTCGAATCGAATACTAACCGATTCCACACTAGTTATCTAGGGCGAGACTCGAGAAAAAGATAGGTTTCCCAATCATTTTCGAATGGTTAACCAAGCCCAATGTTTATTTGGTAACCAGAAATTTCAACAAATATGACAAACAAAAAAACAAAAACAAATTGGCAAATATTGACAGTCTTATCGACAAATATATTGATAGAGTTTGATAAGCAAATCGCTTGCAAAGTCTTGTTTAGAAAAAAATGAGCCCGAAAACTCCTATGAATTCTACAGAACGTTTCCTCGAATAAGCGGGTTGACGGTTTCCAAAAATCTAACATTAATGCATGAGCTATGACTGTGGCAAATTGTTCACAGCTGCTGTTCGCATTCTTCAAGTGGCACACATACATATGTATCTACGCCCATCCATTTGCTTCGGTGTGACCTGCATACTAATAGACATTCGAGACTGCTAGTAATAAACCTACCAACTTCCATCATTTACGCACTCAACCATGCGACGTTTGATGTCCAGAGCGCAGTGCGTAAAATAAGGCTATGACAGAGAGTACTGAACGTTAGCAAGTTAACAAAATTTATGTGTAAAACGCAGACTTGAGCTTTCACACCAGCCACACAAAACAAACAACCTAATTTAATCCAAAGAAAACTATGGAAAAAGCAAAAAAGAAAAGAACAACAAACAAATAGTACTTTATCGCTACGTGTTGTGGTGCTACCAACTTTTATCACCACCCTACTGAACCCACTTTAGTAATTTATCATTTGCGCTCGAGCCGCAGCCCAACAGCAGCAGTAGCAACAGAAAAAAAAAACCAAATGCAAAAAGTAAAAAATAGCATATTGTAAGAACATTCACAAACACTTACCCACTATATTCAGATAGACGGAATGCCCGATCGGTGGTGTTGTTGATATCTGACACTCATAGATGCCCGAATCTTTGCGTTGTGCATAGCGTATACGTAACGTCCAATCCTCGGCGTGCGGCGAATGCATCGCTTCGAAGCGTTGATCCGATGTGTAGGTGTAACGACCAACTGTCAGCAGGTGAATGTCACGATGACGTACCCAGGAGACCTAAAAATGGTGAAAGAAAAAAAGAAGGTTAGTTAGGAAAGCTAACTGGTTGGTTGAGTTGAGTTCAGTTTACGAAAGCAACAACTGTTGTAGAGTGGTTGAGGAAAAAACATGAAAATGCATGTTAGTATGGTACGGCAGGTGTATGCACGTAAAGAGATAAGATTAAAAGCATTCGTAATGGGATTGACTGTTAGCAAAGCACCTTCACGGTTACAGACGTAGAAGTAGTTTAGTGTATGTGTATATGAAACATGTGTGTGAGTGTGTGTGCGCGCGCGTCTTGATGTGTATTCCATGTTAATTTTCTACACAGCTCTTTTGACTATTACGTGTCTGTCTCATTCACGTTATTTGAGCACTCAAAGTTAGACAATTTCCCCTGCAGAAAAAAGTTATAAATTCATAAAAAATAACCTACTTTTAGTTAGCTTTTTTGTGGGATTTCTATAACACATATATAACTTGTAGTTAGCTACAAACAGCTAACTTTGAAACAAGTGGACAAGTATGCAGGAGAAAAGCTCGAGATTGTTTTCTGTAAACGCGTTTATATTTAAATATCCTGCACTTCGCAAATACTTTTTCGAATTGAGGAGAAATAAAATGAAGATCGAAATTTCATATTATCATTTTGAAGTAATGTCTTGCGGAGTTCGAATATGGGACCACCTACAGCAGAATATAGAAACAAATGTAAAATGTTATAAAATAAATAATGTAAATAAAAATAAAAAAATTAAATAAAAATATTTTGTTTTCCTATTGATATTTTATGTCCAAAAGTAGTTAGTTACAAGTTAGTAGCATCAAATGCAGAGGTAACTACCCTTGACTACTTCTAATGCAGGGGTAACCACCCTTGGCTATTTCGCGGCCATCGCCATAGAAATATAGCTAGGTTTCGTCAAAGAAAATATACAGATAATAAGTGACTTATAGCTCCTTCCTAATCAACGTAAAGTTAGCTTATAGTTAGACACATTTCCTGCAGGGTCATAGCTGAATACATACACATATTTTCACACTGCGTTGTAACACTGTTCTGTACGCGTGTGTTTCTGCTTGGTATTTACATGTCCCTGTGACATATAGCAGAGAGAATAGATAGGCGGCATTTTTCTCTTGAGCGATTCAATATTCTTATGGCATGTGGGTTAGGAAATGTTTTAAGTGGTTGATTATAATTTGCAGAGAATTTGTATCGAACATATTATTTATGGAGTTTGGGTGAAATGGGAAATATATTGTAGATGGGGAAGAATTTTTGTGGAATATACATACATATTAACCATCTACCTTCTCAGTACATGGACTTTTTAGTATATTTTGGTGAATAAATATACTCGTTAACTTCAAAGGAAAATATCTCATAAATAAGAAAAGCAGTGTTGTCTTAATCGCTTAATGTTTGAATCAATTAGTAAGACTAAAGTTAATCATGATTAAGTTAATTTCGATTAAAAAAGTAATAGGAATCGTGAAAATAATTTTAAATAATTAATTCTAAATTTTATTAAGCAGATTTTGTGATTAATTAATTTATATGTTGAAATTGCCTGCCGCACTCATGTAGCGCATATATTTATTTATCTATTCATTTCAAGTACAACATACTGGGCTTAGCCCTCACAGGCTTCGATGGTACATAATTAAACATAATAACATTAAGGTATAAATTTATAAGAAGGGTAGAAAACAAATTTAATTCATAAAATAATATTTTAAGTAATTTTTGAATGACTCTCTGGTCATGTCGATATCAACTTGCGAAGATATAACATTAAATAGCGACATACACTTATGAATCGTATGTATGTATCTAAGTACATATGTATGTATGCATCTAATGGCAACTCGAAAGTGAACAATTTTTATGAGAAAGCTTTCAAATGAAAAAATTTATTAATATAGCAAATTTTTGCGATGCAATTTGAGTTGGACTAACGCAAACCCCGCTTTCGTAGTTTTGGAAAATTTATTCTATCCTGTGCAATTGCTTGACGAATTATTTTATTACTAATAACACGCAAACATGTTCACAGGTATATTAAAATCTAGCTTTTTTATATCAGATCATAATAAAAATGCACACCAACGCAATGATGAACCAGTTATTTTTTGAGTATATATTTAACAAGCTTATAAAATTCTTATAAAATAAGTGCAAGTTTTGAGCGGCTTTAAAATCGCATTGATTTTTAATATTTTCTTTTTTGTTTGCTGACGGATTTTTCGGTGTTTTCTCATTTTACTAGAATTGTAATAGCTTGCTAACTGCATACCCAAAAAATGTCTAAAAATTCTGGTTCAAAAGCTCGAAATATAGATAAAAATGTGTGGAATTTTTCTAAGTTCTGTTTAAAGAAGGTATGATTTATATAGTTTTTGTTAAAGAATGCACCATGTTTTTATAAAAAAATATCAAAAAAAAATTTTAGCTTGAAAAATTGTAAATATTAAAAACGAAACACCATTCATCTATTTGTGACCGCCACTGTATATGTACTATATGTAATACATGAGTGCGCGCGGAAAAAGTGTAACATAGAAAGAATAAAATACTAAGTGAGCCGTGAATCCAAATTGTACGAATTTGTTTTTTATTATCCATATTTACTTCATTTTATATAATTTTTTATATAAAAAAAATAAGTTCTTAGTTTATTTATGGTGCTCTCATGAATGGGTTTGGAAGCTGTAGTACACTTAAATGAAAATATCTTATGCCAAGGCGCATTGAATAGGTAGTATCAGTCTAGCAGCTGATTTTACATTTTTTTTTAATTATTTGGTCTCGAAAATATCAAATATATTTAATTTCTTCTCACAAAAATTACAAATTGTTAAAATGTATTTGCATGTGAAACCTTTTTCCATACAAAACAAGCGATTGAATAGCAACTTTTGGACCGCTCGCCCAACTCAGCAGCACAACCGCTGATTACTGGGCCTTGCAAAGCATGGATCAATGCTTCGAGAAGCAAACAAATTTAATAAGAAAGAAAGTTGCAACAATTTTCATTTTTCCAATTAAATTTTTTTATTTTTAATATTTTTATTGAGCTTTGTACCACGATTTATTAGGAAAAATTGAAAAAGCAACAAAGTCTAAGCGGTAGAAGTTATAGCACTATTTCGGAGATCACCACATCTCCTCATCAGACTTCTTTTTTTCTAGACTTCAGCAGGGGGGAAAAAAAAAGAAGTCTGATGAGGAGATGTGGTGATCTCCGAAATAGTGCTATAACTTCTACCGCTTAGACTTTGTAGCTTTTTCAATTTTTCCTAATAAACAATCGTGGTACAAAGCTCAATAAAAATATTAAAAATAAAATGTTAACAAGCCACAATAACATTGAAAAATTTTTGATTTTTTATATGTTTTTTTTTTTGGTATTTCACATGGCACGCTTTGATTTAGAAGAAAAAAATTAGAACAGTTTTTGACACTTTCGATACCAGAAGCAACAACAAAATACACGCGGATGTTGTTTTTGCACTAATGCTACTACCTCTTTGATATGGCTTGCCTTATGCCCTTCGATACATCTGTCGTTACCACTAGTTTTCGCTTAAATAGAACCCAATAGCGTTCGACTGGTCTTAGCTCTGGGCTGTTAGTAGGAGTAGCCCCTTTATGTATAGTATAATATTTATTTTATTGTTGGATCAGAAAGTTTAATATTTTATAAATGTTTATAAAATTATTTCCGATACCTTTAAAATTCTTCTTTTAAAAATGACACTATGGTGTCATATAACAGCGTGTGACAATCAATTTTAACCACACAAAAATTTATATACTCACGAAATTCGGAGCCAAATATGGTAAACTGCGTTTTTGGTCTCTTTCTGATATAAAGATTTTTTTGAAGAACTTCGAAATATCAAGGATTTGCTAAATTCGAAATTTATAAAAAAAAAACAGTTTAATGGAGAATAACAAGAGAAAACTCTTTCAAATTTAAACAAAATAAAATGTTTTGGTGTACAAGGACGAAAAGATATTGAAATTGTCTTTTTAACTTTATTGTTGTAGGATAAACAAAAATGATTTAAATACCTATGCGTCCTTGTGCACTGAAAAAAAATTTAATGTTTTTGAATTCTACGAATTTTGTGATTGGAAAACAAGTGGCGATGTGGTGACGCACATATTCTCACATAGACGTTCAGTAAATGCTGCTCGATGAATAAAAGTTATTTTTTTCTCCTTAACTTTAAGTTTTAATCAAATTATTATTTTTTAATAAATATTTAAAAATGTACATACAAGTACAATAGTAAGCGTAACCGTGTTTTGTTCATATGTTTAAATGAGTCTCCCTACAAACTAACGCTTGCTAAAAATGTAGACTTCCGACCGTCTATGCGAGATTTCAAGCCCGATCATATGAAGGTTAAATATCTGAAACCGAAAATAAATAATAGAAAAAATATGGCATTCAGGGAGCCCCTATTTCGGAGCTCTTTAAATGGTAGCCCTCTCCACCCTTATTTTTTATTTCTTTTAATTGGTTTGGAATTGTAGAGCTAAAAAAACCTACTGATTTAGTTTCCCCATAAAAAGGCAAACTTTAAATAAAACAATAATGGCATAGATAAATTTTAAATTTGCGTCAGACACAAACCCAAATGTCGACTGCGATTTTGTCTTTTATTTGGATTTCGTAGCCTTGGAAGCATACATGCGTCCTCGTCTACCTTCGTGTTGTCGAGCTTCTGGAAGAAATTTGTTTGGCTTTGGTTGCTTAACAAACACACTTTGTCTCTTGCCTTCTCAAATGCTTTTAGTAAGAATGGTTCCTCATTTTGCATACTGTCTACATATTGACGACCGAAGTATTGTATTCCCAAGGCTGATTTTTATTTTTTAAATTTTACTTTACTTATTTACCTTCTTTCGTTCCGCATTTCCTTTGTACCAAATTTTAAATAAATTAATTTTAAGTCCCGCTGTGAGAATGGATGTCTAATTATGTCGTTCTAAA